ATTCTAAGTTTGCCATTCTAAGTTGTATATAAAAAAAAAGAGGTTCTTGAGTGGTGACAACAAATACAGTGTAGGATGACCCACTAGATGGAGTGACGACCATAAATGCATTGCAGGGAGTCAGTGGATGCAGGTGGCTCAGGACCGTTCTTTATGGCAATGTATGGGGGAGGCTTATGTCCAGCAGTGAACGGATGATAGCTGAAATGATGAATCTATTGTCAATGTTATGTACACCTGCTATAGGCATGAATATCAACATTTTAAACCAAAAAAAAAAGTTATTTAATTTATGTATAGTATATATACTGAGGACAGAAAGGAAAAGATATTGGGACACTTGATAGGACACGACGAACTTATGAACATTATAGTAGAAGGTAAGATAGAAGGAAGGAAGGGAGGAGGGAAAGCAAGACATAGTTACAGCAGGCAGATCAAGGAAGGAGTTGGTGTCGTGTCGTATCAAGAAGTGAAGAGACTCGCTGAAAATCGTAGTGAGTGGCAAGAGCTCCAGCGACAAGAGCGCAGCTCTTAAATAGGATAGATAGATAGATGTATACTGCTGGTGTACCTAATTCAAAATAAATAAAATAAACACAAATAGATCACCAAAACGTACGTTCGCGTCGTCGTGAAAAATCCAAGGTGTTTCAATCAAGACGGAATCCGTATTTTACACAGCCTCCGCTGAAGCCGGTCCCGGAGAGCCCACTGAACTGTGACTGCAAACACTCGAGCCCTCATTAGGTGTTTGCCTTGCTTATAAAAATTTCCTCTTGTGTGCATGTTATTTTAAAAAATAATATTTAATATTCGGCGGCAAACGTTACGTTAGAATTCGGAAATTTTTTTGCAAAATTTTATACAGTGAAGACAGAAAATCTTGTGGAGTTTGAAACGTAAATTACCTAATCTATAGATAGATAGATAGATAGATATATCATGTATTTGCCTCAGATAATAAAGGTAGATAAATATAATATTTTTTTTAACCTATGTTTTCTTTATCTTTAAATGACATAGATAATTTGTGTATATATATATATATATATATATATATATATATATATATATATATATAATAAACTTCATTTATTAAGTCAGTCATAGCACACGAGTCATGAAAATACTATCAACAAATTGCACGATCCCGCTATGTTAGCTCGAATATTAGATTAAGAGCTAAACCCTCGAGAAACAAGCAGAGATTTTAAATAAAATATGAGTAACACACGTCGTGAGCCTGTATGTATGTAGTAGACACGGAAACACTCAAACCGTCGCAGTCGCCATTGATCCGGCACTTAACTAGAGGTAAACTTTATGCATTTTGTAATACCCATAAGCTTAGGGTCGGTCCACATTGACCAAAAGTTGCGAATACAAAACTTGTAAGGTATGGTGACTGCATCCCATTAAGCTGCCGTACAACTATCTCTTGTAAGTACTCCGCATTCTCTGGTGTCAAAAAATTTTAAGCTATTCCTTATACACGAAAGCTTCTGATGTAGATTATCGAACGACAGTTGTACTTGCCCTCCGAAGTACAAGCAAGTAACAATTATGTTTAATGTTCTAAATATGAATTTGAAAAATTCTTAAATTGCGGCGGAGATTTGAAATTAGAATCAGCTGCCCTGAGACATCCAACTGAGCTGACACTACTTCTACGAGTACATCCTATAAGTAATGATCATTATCGTTATGGGAAGTAACAGCAAAATTTTAACCCTTGATCAACAACAACAAAAAAATAAGTAAAAGTAATAATAAAAGTAGTGTAGTATTGTCGTGTAGTCCCACCATAGAATGGGCCATTTTTTTCCAACTTAATGATCGAGGGTTGGGTAGCAACGTCCCTTATAAAACATTACCGAAACCTAACTACATTTGCCAATCCGCATGCAAAGCGTGGCAACTACTGACAAAACTCCCCAAAATAAGGGAGACCTAGTTCAGCAATGGACAGTTAACGGCTGATATGATGATGAAGAATAAAATAGAATCTACAAAATCACACCGACCACCTGGTTCTCAAGCTAGGTAACACAGGATTATCAGGGCCCAACCTACAAACATCTGGAGGGCATCAATCAAAAAAATTCGAAACGACCAAACCACAACCTACCACACGACAATTTTAAAGGGTTACTAATTAATCGTACTTGTAGATAAAGAAATTTAATGTAGTTTCCAATTTGCTTTTTGAACGAATTTGTTCTTATCGTATCGAATCCATTTAATGCGAAATTCACTTATTGCTAATTCAAATTTGCATATATGCAAACTTTGTAAATTATAATTCAACTGACAAATAATGCATATGTTTCTGATACTACGGGATCTAATCTAGCACACTTTACAGTAACACATTAATTATTTGAACCAAAACGCATTATCGTAATGATGAATTAGTTATACATCGTTTCGTAATTCTCTGTCAATGTGAATGAACCCTAAATGCACACAGTAGAGTTAGATAGTTCAGAAATAGTGTATCAGTTACTGCATTAAACAGTTTTAAAGCAGTCATAGTTGTTTAGGAAATAACAATTAAACTTCCAATTTCAAAACAATGCGATATATTATCTAAATGTATTTTAAGATATTTATAGCAAATAGTTTGCTTAGTTTAGTTCTAGATGGCGCTGTTCTATATGGTGCAATGGTATTTATTACGATTTTTTTTCTTAATAAATACTGATTTAATATTAGTCAACTCATTGAAATTACTGAGTTGTATAATGTTAAATCAGAAACTCAGTGAAATTACTGAGTTGTATAATGTTAAATCAGAAACTCAGTGAAATTACTGGGTTGTATAATGTTAAATCAGAAACTCAGTGAAATTACTGAGTTGTATAATGTTAAATCAGAAACTCAATGAAATTACTGAGTTGTATAATGTTAAATCAGAAACTCAGTGAAATTACTGAGTTGTACAATGTTAAATCAGAAACTCAGTGAAATTACTGAGTTGTATAATGTTAAATCAGAAACTCAGTGAAATTACTGAGTTGTATAATGTTAAATCAGAAACTCAGTGAAATTACTGAGTTGTATAATGTTAAATCAGAAACTCAGTGAAATTACTGAGTTGTATAATGTTAAATCAGAAACTCAGTAAAATTACTGAGTTGTATAATGTTAAATCAGAAACTCAGTGAAATTACTGAGTTGTATAATGTTAAATCAGAAACTCAGTGAAATTACTGAGTTGTATAATGTTAAATCAGAAACTCAGTGAAATTACTGAGTTGTATAATGTTAAATCAGAAACTCAGTGAAATTACTGACTTGTATAATGTTAAATCAGAAACTCAGTAAAATTACTGAGTTGACTAATGTTTGATCAGAAACCTATGATATCGTCCTGTTAGACAGTATCACTAAGTAATAAGATAAAAAATCTAAAGAAAAACATTTCCGAACGAACTTATTTGTATTACAAAATGCCTGGCTTTACCTATGTCACTTCATTTTCAGTTCGCAAGCATGTGAGTCCATTATAGTAAGTCCAAAATACATATTTTAGATATTACTACCACATCACTATACCTGTTAATCGCTTTCACCAAGTCTAAGTAGACCCGTCCCCGGAGACAAATAACCGCGTCTCCCGGATGATGGAAAGTGATGAATAAATTATACGCCGGTTAATCGATGCCCGGCAACTTTGCTAATTGTCTTAGGCAGGTATCTGTCCGCTACATGGGATCACTCATAACAAATCCACTTTAATGTCATTATACTCGTAGATGGACTTCTATACAGCTTCTTACTGCGACTTTGTTCACATGGTATTTGGCTAAGTAGTAATTGAAATATCACGTAATAAATCTTTTATTATTATTAAGCAAGGTAAATATTTGTGCCGCATAGACCACAGATTAAAAATAATACCTATAGCTCTTAATATGCCACGTGCATTTTACCTTGACGTATTTTTTTTTTATAATTTAGGTTATTAACAATACATTTAATTATTTTACATTTAATAATAAGTAAACTTTAATTATTTTTTTTACAACACAGGGGGCAAACGAGCATGCGGCTCACCTGATGATAAGTGACTACCGCCGCCCATGATCACCCACAACACCAGCGGCATTGCAGGTGTGCTGCCGGCCTTTTAAAAAGGAATATACTCTTTTCTTGTAGGTTATGTTGCCGTATCGGTTCGGAAATACTGCTGCTGGAAGTTGGTTCCAAAGAGTGGTTGTGCGTGGAAGAAAGTGCCTTGAAAAACGCACGGTGGCTGACCGCCACTCGTCCAAATGATTGAGATGAAACTTTAGTTTGTGGCGGGTTGTACGGTGGTGAAAATCAGCAGCAGGTATCAATCCGAACAATTCCTCAGAACACTCCCCATGATAAATTCGGTAGAAGATGCACAGAGATGCAACATCTCTGCGCAGTTTCAGCGGGTCAAGTCGGACAGTAAGGTAAATACGAAACATTTCACTTGCTATAATTAAAGATAGTGTTTCGTAAAAAAAACAGACTTCAATTGTGACAAAACCAGTTATTTTGATCTAAAAACTAAACTACTGTACCGATTTTGATAAAATTTCTACGGAACTAATCTGTAAGTATATTCTTTCATATAAAATAAGAATTTTCCAAATCGGTTTAGAACTAACGGAGTTATGGGGTAACAAACATAAAGAAAATTACAACCGTATATAGTTATATTAAACAAAGATGTACAACAGGCGAACTTAACTCTGTAAGAGTTCTCTTCCAGCAAACCCTGAGTGGAAAGGAGCATTAAGTACCAACCAATTTTTATCCATATTACCAAAAGATTTCGCTTATAGTTTTACGACCGGCTGAGTTTTAGATGTAATGTTTACTAAAAAACTTTTATGTCAGGTTTAAAAGTAAAATACCTTTTAATTAGATTCGCCTTGTGACATGTCGAATTCAAATAATATTAATTCAATAATTAATTAAATTTTAAATACATTTTAGAAGAAATAAATAATTCGACTTACGTGTGTTTGGTAGCATAGCGTATGAGATCAGCGCATGACATGAATCTGTAACAAAAATAGAAAAATATTAATCACTATTAACTATCCCAATAAAGGGGGGAAAGGGATTGTTAGTAATGAGGTCTAACTGACCCATTGCTAGCAATACACCCTATCAGGTCGACCACCACGTGGTTCCCCCTGGAAACCATCATGATTAATTCTAGTGGAATTCGTCATGATAGGCTAACTGACCTGCTTTCATGGTCATCTACCATCCCTCACTGGTACTGCCTGCGCTATCAGTATACGCCCCGCCAGCGTATACTTATAGTGCAGACACCTGACGGCCCACCTGATGGAAAGTGGTAACCGTCGCCTATAGACATGAGCAGTACCATGGACATAATAGACTATACTGTTTCGCCCATAATACCCCCCATGCGTTGCCATTCCAGAGGACTAAGGTGTTATGCCTCTGTACCCTGTAAATTCACTGCTATATCCCACCCTTAAAACCGAAACACAGCCATGCAAACACAACTGCTTCACGGTAGAAACACGAAGAGGACAGTGGTGCCCAAGCAAACGAATTTAGTACAACGTCTCTCTCTGGTACTTAACTTTTATTACTTTTTGAATCATCAGTCAAAAATATTAAAAATAATGAAGTTATTTTTGAAAATTGAAAAATAAATGTGACGTTACCAAACTTCCTCATGGTAAAGTTATAACCACTTTTAAATTTAAAAGCAAACTGAACGTCTATGGTATGCAACAAAATCGTAAGGAACAATAAATCTATACTAATAAAAATGTACTTGACCTGTGAAGGGCTGATTCGACGCGTGGTCGAAATATTTTGCCAGTGTTAGAATCGTGTGCGTGCATTTGATGGATGTGGAACTAGAAATTATTGTGTTTGCACACATATAGCGCCCTATGTTCAGCGGTCTGTGGGATAGTGATGTGCCAATTTAATCTTTTATAGGTATTCGAGTATTGTGTTACTCGTTAAAAAAGCAATCGAATCCTAAATCGAGTCTGAGAATTAGAACAAGTATTCCAGTACTTACATGAGCATTTGAGTATTTCATCAAACTCGAATTTTTTTTTTAACTGATTTCTAAAGCTTCTAACAAAGATAATAAATGTCTTTTTAATTATATAAATATAATAAATGAGAAAGTTTGCCACATTCAGCGGATGGATAAATGGATGAATATTTGTTACTCTTTCACACAAAAGTTAGTAAACAAATTTGAATGAAATTTGGTACACAGATAGCTTTTGACCTAACTTATATAAAGTAGGTATAGAATGATTTATTTACTGATTCACTTGAGTATAGCTACAGAATATAGCTAAATATTTAATAATTTTACCTTTATTAAATTAACAAAAAAAAAATATGAAATAAATTTTAAATTGTTATTAATAAACACTTACTGAATAAAGCCTATTATAGATTAAACTATTCCTTAATAAACAAAAGTATGCACTATTAGTCGCATGATCAACGGACTTTTTAACGATCATGTAATTTAAGACGTAGTACATTTAAATAAATATACATAACAGTAATTTAAGAGTAACTGTTAAGTTTCTTGCGATTGCAAATAATAACATTTTGGAGCCGGCAATAAATTCATAAAAAGTAATAATTTAAAAGTACTTCTAAACAAGTCTACTTAAATAAAGACGAATTTGAATAAAACCACGAAGCAGAAATGAAAATTTACGAGAAACACGCAACCAGTATTCGAATGCCGATAGTATTCCTATTTTGTATTTGTATATCACAATTTTGTAGAACGAGTACTCGAGTACTTAATTATTCAGTAGATATTCGAGTCAATACTCGAATCAGCTTGATTCATCACATCACTACCGTGGAGTGTCGGCGGGTATTTGTGAGCTGATGGATTGTTTTCCTACTGTTGTTATGCACAGAGGCCGCTGCGATTTATTTGTTTATTGTTTATTAAAATAACATTCTGTTTTTAGCATAAAAATAAGCTTTGATCACACAACAATAGATAGAGTATATCCATACAAATAAAGCTACAAAAACATAATCCTTCTTTTTTAAATATCACGCTTTTAAAATTGTATTACTTTTGACAGACAAAACGTTATTAAGAATGTAGTCATGACCTTTTACGAGAAGATCGTATTCCTTTTTTATAAACTGGCAACACACCTATAATACCTCTGGTGTTGCGAGTGCTCATGGGCGGCGGTAGTCACTTACAATCATGCGGCTTGCATGTTCGTTTACCATCTATATTACAAAAATAATGCAAGTATAAAGTGGATGTCTTATATATATATTTATACTTATCCCCCACTGCTTGTATAATCAGTAACGTGAATAAATCAACTTACAAGTAAATGGATTCAGAATTTATTAAATAAACATTAAATTTCAGACGAAATATTTAGAACACAAATGAGGTGATAAAGAAAATATTTTGCTATTGAGAATTCCACGAAAATGTTTTGGGGTGTAAACAAGTGTAAACTTCTAACAATAATGTAAACATTTCGTCTCATTTTTGAATCAATACAGTTTTTTTGTACTTAAATCTAGGAAGATAAAAGACAGAAGATAAAAGAAACACTAGGTGTCATGTCGTATAGGGATGTCAAAGATATAATCTGGGATAGAACTGGCTGGAGGAAGATGCATGAATTAGTTGCACCGACAAGAGGAATCTCTTAAATGAAAAGAAAGAAAAAATCTACGAAATAACAAGACAAGGTCAATTTATAGATTATTCAGATTAAATATTTAACTGAACTAGATGTTATCTTTCAGAAGTCCATATAACTGGTTATTTGATTACAATTTACCAGAGGGAGAGACTTTGTATAAAAGTCGATTGCTTGGGTACCTCTGTCCCATTCATATTTCAACCGTGAAGCAGTTGTGTTTGCATGGCATAAGGCGTGAATTTACTGGGTACAGAGGAATAACACCTGAGTCCTCAGGAAACGCATGGGGGGTATCATGGGCGAAACAGTATACTTTGTTATGTCCATAGTACTGCTCATGTGTATAGGCGACCGTTACCACTTTTCATCAAGTGGACCGTCAGCTTGTTTGCTATTCTAAGTTGTGTAAAAAAAAAAATATTTTGTTTAATTCCGCTACCATTAGTATGTGTGTGACTGCCAACTCTCAAAGACTGACCACCACTATTACTACCAGAAGTACGATTCTGTAACACAATCATGCTTTAACAACTCTATTTATTTGTATATTTAATATACTAATTCACGCAGGCAAATCCTCGAGATACAGCTAGTATATAAACAAATTCAATTCGTATCAGATTCATTAATTTGATCATGTAAGTGGTATGATAAAATATCGCGAGAGTGTTTTTCAGAAAAGAACACGAATATCAAAGTCCTCGTTCAGCAGCCCGCCGCCCCCGTCTCCCGTCTCAGGTCCCGTCTCACTCTTGACCTATTTACTGTTACAAAGAAAAACTTGCTGATCATCGAATGTCACAAAACTCGCCCTCGTACTGGAACACTTTAATAAAACTACAGAGTTTACAATCGAAGTACCTTGAAAACAGATGTTTTCCATAACAAATATGTATTGATATATTGTCTTTTAGTCCCGATATAGAATGGGCTACCTCCCATGAGTGTCGTAAGAGGCGACTAAGGGATATAAATGGTCACCAGATGGGCAGCAGCGTTCTTTTTAAAACATCACCAAAATCTAAGTGCGGTTGCTAACCCGCCTGCCAAGCGGGGCACTGGCAAACCCTCTTCCGCCCCTTATGAGGAAAGCCTATGTCCAGCAGTGGACAGATAACGGCTGATACAATAATAATAATATAATAATACACTTTATTACTCAGACTACAATTTGGTCCATTTTGTTAGTAACACTTTTCTTACAAACTATGTTAGTAAAATAGAGAAGCAAATTAATTGAAGCAGTTCACCCAGATGTGAGCCAGCCGACTAGATCAGCATCTAAATGAAATGCCCAATTATCTATCTATCTATGTATCCTATTTAAGAGCTGCACTCTTGTCGGTGGAGCTCTTGCCACTCACTACGATTTTCAGCGAGTCTCTTCACCTCTTGATAGGACACGACACCAACTCCTTCCTTGATCTGCCTGATGTAACTATGTCTCGGTCTCCCTCTCCCTCCTTCCTTCTATCTTACTTTCTATTATAATGTTCACAAGTTCGTCGTGTCGTATCAAGTGTCCCAACATTTTTCCCCTTCTGTCCTCAATAGTTCTAACAATTTGTCTTTTTTCCTTAACCCTAAGCAGGACCTCCTTATTGCTAATTCGATCCCTCCAGCTAATTTTCTCCATCCTTCTCCAGCACCACATTTCAAAGGCTCTAAGTATAACCATTTCCTTCTGAGCTAATGTCCACGTCTCACATCCATACAAGCTATACTCCAGATATAGGTTTTGATAAGCCGCTATCTAATATCTTTTGTTATCTTAGCCTGTAAAAGGTGTTTTTTGTTATTGAAGGCCCAATTATAAGCGAGTTATATTTCTCGCCTATTACTTTTAGAATGCTGTTGGTGCTTGTCCTAACCCTGTGTAGCAATGATGCAGTCCTCTTTCTCCTTATAGCGTAGTGATCATCTACGCGAGATTGAGCAAACATGCTAGAAGCTCGGAAAGCGCATTTCCCCACAGAATGCAATGATGATGATGATATATTTGTAATAAATTTAATTAAACCATTAAAAATCCAATGAACGACATGTTTTGTATAGAATAATCTAATTAGAATAATGAATAACATATTTTATAGAGATATAATTACTACAATGCTTTTAACCTGTTTAGTGCCAAGCTGGTCAACTACTGGTAAACTCCTGCCGGCCCTTATGAGGGAGGTTTATGTTCAGCAGTGGACAGTTAACAGCTAACGTAATAGAGGAAGTGATTGTTAATAATGGGACCTAACAGCCCCATTGCTAGCAATATGCCCTCTTAGGTCGACTCCCACATGGTTCCCCCTGGTAACCATCGTGGTTAATTCTTGTGAAATTCATCATGATGGGCT